CAGCAAGGTAAATAATTTTAAATTATTAATATAAATAAATTAAATATTTATTTATTTTAACATTTATTTTATATAGAGACAACTTCGCCTTAAATATCCTCAATATGTTTTTTTACCATGTTTTGCACATTAGTGTAACTTGGCTGTTAGGGAAATTTTTAAGGAGTCAAATACTTTAGCAAAAGCATCTGCTAATGCTGTCAAATTATTTCTTTATTTTACTCATCCTAATAATATATACTTTATTGGTAAATTGAGAAAAATACAATTGGAACTTTATAATAAATGTTATGCTATAATTAAACCCGGAGATACAAGATGGAATTCTTACTATAATTATTATAAAAGTTTAATTCGAACTAAACAAGTATTAAGAGTAATTTTTGAATTTTAATATTAAAAATTATAATTAATTATAAATTATTTAAATAATTGTAAATAGAATTTAATAACACGTCTGAAGCAACTTTTTCAGAAACTACTGAATTGTATCTTCCAATTAAAATTTGTCAAATAGTTATGAATGATTTGTTTTGGATTCAAATTTCCAAAATTAGCAACATTAATGCAACCTTATTGTGAAGCACTTCATAAATTACAAGCAAATAAAAAGCTTTTTATTTGCAATACATTGCATAAATTACAAGTTAGCGACTTTGCTTATGATTAAGTTGAAAGGCGCCGGTCCTATTCATTGCGTCCATTATATCCATCACCCTATATTCATTGTTTTTCATCCTAACCTTCGTTTCATAGGTCGTGACGCTATTTTCACTGGTACTTTCTCACGTAGCGAATATGCCTGTTCTATTTGTTTATTTACATAGTTGCAAGATTCGTATTTGCGGTTGCGAATTTCGTTTACCTCGGGAAAAAAATTTTTTTTTCAGATATATACCGTCGCACAGCCTCAAGAATTTTCCCGATATCATACTGTGCATTTCAGGTGATTAATCGCACATGATTATTTTGACAAACACCTTGGTTTTATGATCGACCAACTCGTTTAAGCAAAAACCCCATCTAATGCTGTTTGCTTATAATAGAATCTTTTATAGAAAAATCAATATATGAATTTTATTTAATCTTTATAGATAATTACAATAACTAGATACACTTATTATTAGTAGCAATCAATTAGAAAATACATCTGTAATTAGGACTACGCGTCTAAATGTAAATCTAACATCTACATAACGTGTCTGATTTGCATTCAAATAAATGACTTTAGATCTAAACTGACCTTGAACTTGGGGAAACATATTTGAAGTTAACTGAGTTGCTGTTGCGCAAGAAATATCAATTAAAGCACGGATTACAAGAGCTTTTCGCCTTTTGCTCAAATTATTCATAGCTCTAAGAGCAGTTTGGCTTAAAATTAATCGTCGAAGAGGTCCTCGTCGGATGATGTTTCTTCGGTGAGAGTACATAATTCAGACTCTTGGTAGTTAAAATCTTCGTTGTCCAGATCTTCTTCCTGTAGATCTTCGTGTGAATCGTCCAAACTTTCTTCTTGTAAGGCTCTTCTAAAAAAGTTGGCAAGATGTTCCAAGGGAGTGATCTTTTCCTCTGCAAAAATAAATTGTTTAGTAGTATTATCGTGGCAAACAATAATAAATTGAATACTTACTTCTTGATAAATCAATATGTGTCCTGAACCAGATTTCTTTTCGAAAGTCTATCATGTAGTATATAGTCACCTTTAATACAGAACTAACTATATTCAAGAGTAACAATGAACAAACCTCTTCCGTTTTTATTGAGATCAGCCCACTGTTCTTCTAAACCTTCAAAACAAGGAGGAATTGGAGGAATTTCGGATGTTAAAGGTGTGTCTTCCAAAGTATTGTTCAAGAGAATGTTTTCTGAAGTATTATTGTTCGAGACTGAGGTATTATTACTAAAGTAATGATATATCAGATCGTATAGTATAACTAAAAAAACGATCGGAAGCCACAGCCAGGATGTAAAATTGATAAAAGGAATGGTAAAAGGAAGAACGGTGATAATACAGCAAAAATAAATGATATTCATTTTTTTTACGAATTTATGGGTAAGAATGAGATGAATGAGTAAGAACGCGAGTTAATCAGATTTATGCAAATTTTATTGGGGTGTGGCAAACATATTAGAATACTGCATATTGATGATCATCAAGTTTCGTTTAACTGATTTGATTTGATAGAAGAAACAAAAATTAAATGGCGCAATTAACAAAAGAAAATTACTTTTTAGGATAATGTAATTTTTAGAACAAATGAATGTAACAATGTTATTTTTTCAACGCAATTATAAAAAATCATTTTTTGTTAAACGAAACTTTTTTTTAAACAAAAACAAAAAATCTCATTGTTAAATTAAAATATATATCCTTGTTTATACGAATTAAAAATTTTTTTCCACTTATTATTTTTACTTATTGATCCATTTCGATTCAAATTATTTTTCCAATTTTGAGTAGCAAATGAATGCCTTTTTTTACTTCGTTGATAAGTATGAAATAGAAAGAAAATTAAAGACTAAAAACTTTTATTAAAATAAAAATAAAAATATTATTTTATTATAAAAAGATTGATTTTTTGAATTTTACATAAAAACTATCTGAAAACCAACTTTTGTAACCTAAAAAATTCTTTTTCTCTTGTAAATTTACATATATTTTTATTGTTGTAATTATATATTTGTTCATACTTTTAAAAGGATCTTAAAAAATACTTTAATTTTAAGACGAAAGTTCATGTATATGTCGAAAAAAAATTATTAAAGTACGAAAAAATTGATTGAACCTAATAATATATTTGATATTCTGTTAAATTACTTAATTTAGATCATATCATAATGCGCTGCGATTGATAATTACTGCATCACTTAACGATTATTTCTTTGAACGATGCCTCGAAAAAAAATGATATTATCAATTAAAAAAGCACAAGAAATGTATAGATGTGTACAAAATCAACATAAAAATACTTTAATTAAAATTCTTGATAAATTCAACAATGAAGAGATATTAAAATTCCTTCATTATATTTAAGATATTAATAACAATAAAATGGAAGGAAAAATAAAAGAGAAAACTTAATTAATAAAATTAGAGAATTACCTGAATCTCAAATCGCAAATGCAACAAATACATTACAAATAATGTTTATCCTAAAGGAGATCAAAATGGATCACAATTTTTACAAAAAAAAGCAATAGAATTTATTAAAAATACAATTTATAAAAAAGATTCAGATGTACATGATTTAAAAAAAAAAATACAATTACTTCAAAATGAAAATAAAAAATTACAGAATAATAAGAAGAAATTAATTAAACAGGTTCATAGTTTATCAATAAAAGTCGTAAAATCAAAAAATTACAAATCAAAATATATTTCTAAACTTCAATCTACTATTCAAAAAGCAAAAAAATTACAACACATAACTTTCAAAAAGCTGCAAAAAACTCTTTAAAATTAATAAAAAAGAATATTCAGCACAAATAGTAAAACTAACAACTAATATAAGTTTAATTAGAGGAACTTCTATATTAGTCACGGTAGAATATACTAAAGCATTTTATGAATTTGTTGTTGAAGAACCAGCAGAATATTGGATTGCAAAAAAAACTATATCACGATGAAATAAAGAACTTGCTAGATTAACTATTAATGAGTATTATTCTAATAATACTAAATCAAATTTTTTAGATATGGAATTATAGTTGACGAAAGTATGCGTGATAAATAAAAATTATTATTAATTTGTATAGCTTATTGGAATTCAATTTTAAATAGACCAACAGTTATGACTTTAGGAATAGTTAATATTCTACGATGTAATGCATAAACAGTAGCCCAAAAAACTTTAGAAATTTGTAATAGATACTTTTTAGATTCAACAAAAAGTTTTTTTTGATTAACTGATAATACTACATATATGTCATCTTTAGGATAAAGTGCTATTACAAAATTTAATTCTTTTATTGATGCAAATTCTCTTTAGATTTTATGTGGATTACATGTATTACATATTTCAATAATGAATTTTGAAAATACTGCTTTTGGAAAAATTACATTACCTTCTGGTTTATCTTTAAAAAAGCAACCTTTTAATGTTTTAAATTTAGCATTTTATTTACATAACGAATATAATATGAGTGATAAAGATACACTATATAATATAAATGCAAGTATTATTAAGCAATTATATAATATTATTTTAAACTATGATTTAAAAAATTATTAATAACCTATTTGACTTATGAATTAAAAATAGTATAGCAATATTTTGATTGACTATCAATTCATTGGCAATTTGCTTCTTGAATTATTCAGAAATTAAAAAAATGATCAAATGTACCTAAATCATATCTTCAAAAATAAATTTTATTTAATAAATAGATCAATAATAAGAAACTTAATTTAAAACTTAAATGTATAGTTAAGTTTGGTAAGCATATTTATAATCCAATTTATGATTTTTTAATTTCTTATGATACAACACCTCGAATTTATCAAATAGATAGTATTAAATTACTTCTAGCTGGTAATCATGCTCATGAAATGCCAAATCAAGTGATGATATTGATTAATAAATTAGAAAATGCTACTTTAGATATTTTTAGCATTTTTAATAAGGAATTAAATGAAGCAAAAAATAATTTATCACCAGAAAATTTTGAAAATTTATATCAAAATTTATTTAAAGGCATGCAAAAAGCTTTAGAAGAATTTTCAAAGTGAATGAAAATGTGGACTTATTTATCTTTAAGTATTTATCGCTTAGGAGGTAATTTTGATAATGAATTTGCATGTGTATTTCTTAAAGTATTTTTTTCTATTGAATATGAAAAAATACCAATAATCAATGAAACTTTATATATTGAAAGTTTAAAAAAAGATTACAACAAGGTCTTAAAAATACATTTGGACTTTTAAAGACTTTAAATGATGAAAACTTTTTTCAACAATTTAAAGAATTTGCAATTTTATGTTCAAAACCACTATGAAAATTTCCTCTTATTTATGATTTCGTTAAACATAGAATCTGATGTAATATTATTCATCAATAGCAAATCGAAGGTTTATTTAATCAATATGATATAAAAGTAAATTCCAATATGAGTCAAAAATCACGAATGCAACTTTCAAGAACCAATAATATTAATAATTTAAATATTAATGCATTATGAAAAATCTGTAATGATATATGAAATATTAATATTGCTAATGAATATACAAATAATCAAATTAGTGAAGAACAATATGCAAAAAAAATTCTTGCTTCAATTCTTTATTAAACTTTAATATAGTAATTAAATATATTATGTATTTTACGTTAAATATAATTAAAATAAATTCAATTTAATTTTATTAATAAATTTTATCAGGTATGTCAATTTGCGCCTTATACTATATATCAGTGTTGCATTTTGGACTTGTCTAATTATTTTAATTAGACAGTTTTGGATGTATCCAAAATTGTCCAAAATTTCTATGAGTTTTAGACTATCTAAAACAAATTTAGAACTAGTTTAGGACAAAATTTAATAATTGATTTATTAATTGATTTATTATGATAATCTTTTTTTTCTAAAGTTATTAAAATTAAATATGATACAACATAGTAAAGGTCGACTTAAACACAACCTTTTTACATTTATAACAAGTTTAAAAAAAACTAATTCAACAGATAAAATCGATAATATATATGTAATGCTTGTGCTGAAGTTTTAAAAGAAATGTTAAAAGTATGATAAATAGAAAGGAAAGAATTAAATAACATTTAATAAACTGTAAATATTTTCGAAATAAATATGGTGAAGAAGTTGAAGAAATTCTAAATAATTATAATAGTAAAAATGAAGAAATGCCTTTAAATAAACAAATATGTCTTAATAGTTAGTATTAATTCTTAAAATTTCTTTTTTTTTAAAAAAAATTTAATTTAATTTTTAAGATTCTATATTTTAGATGATATTGCATTTATTTCAAGTTTTCATACAAATTCTACATATTCATCATTAAATTGAAGTCAATCATCTGAATTAAATTTTTCTAATAAATATATGAAGTAGTCATTATTACTTAAATATGCTATATGAAACATTACTAAAGCTAAGACATCTTTATATCACAATTTGTTAATCAAAATAACAGTAGCTAATGGTTAAGCATTTTAATGGGTTAATAACCCTTTAACACAAGCATTTTTTAATTGGTTAAATTCAAAATTAAAATTACCAGATCGAAAGCAATTAGCCAAATTTATATTAGATCAAGCTATAGAAAATATTGAAAATTTACATCAAGAAAAACTAAATTAAGTACATGAACAAGCTGGTA